CTTTGCTGCCTCCTCCTATGTTACTCTTTCTGTCTTTGCATTCAACAGGTGTGCTTGTGCCAAACAGGTGGTTGCAGGCCTAACTCTGCTGAACTAGCTGACCGCAGCCGACTGGGCATTCAGTCTCAGAGCTAGCTCACTCACTCAGCAATGAGGATCAGCATCTGTTCATTGCACCCACTTCGAGATTGCATTCCTTTTGATCCCTTTTTTGCCTCTGGTTCGAGTTGATGCTCTTGAAAGCTTTGCTGTTGCTGCTGAATTTCACCTCCTTCCAGTCAGACTTTACCGAGATCCAATTCGACAGGGGTCGAACCTTCTTGCCCTCTGTGAAACAGTGACCTCTGACCTTCAGCCGACGGCGGGAAACTCCCGTCGATCCTGCCTGCAGACAATGAAGGCGGCCGCCGCCGAGGCGCCCTGGTTCGGCATTGAGCAGGAGTACTTTATGATGGACGCAAAGAGCGGGAAGATCCTCGGCTGGCCGGAAACGGGCAGAGGGGAGCCGGATCCCTTTGAGTCGCACTACTTTGCAGTGGGCAGGGACCGAGTGGTGGGGCGGCAGTTGGCCAATCTGCACTATGCCGCCTGTCTGTATGCTGGCATTAAAATAGATGGGCTGAATTCGGAGGCCAGTCTCGGGCAGTGGGAGTACCAGGTACCAGGAGGAAGAAGAAAAAGAGAAACTCCTTCTTAAAGTCCTAAATTCTAACTCTTCTTAATCTCCCAAATAGATCGGCCCCTGCGAGGGCGTCACCATCGGCGACGACCTGGTGATGTCCCGCTATCTGCTGCACCGCCTCGCCGAGGACCTCGCCCTCTCGGTGACCTTTGAGCCTAAGCCAATTCCCGACGGCATGTTCGGCTCGGGCGCCCACACCAACTTCAGCACCGCCTCCATGCGAGCCGAAGGCGGCCTGGCGGCCATCTACGAGGCGCTGAAGAAGCTGGAAGCTCGCCACCTGGAGCACATTAAAGTGTATGACCTTGATGGTGGGCGGGAGAACGCCCAGCGACTGGTGCCCGGCCCGGTCTCCGCCAGCTGGCAGACCTTCACCTGGGGCCTGGCAAACCGGGCGGCCAGTGTACGGGTTCCGGCGCAGACGGTCGCCGATGGGAAGGGCTACCTCGAGGACCGCCGTCCGGCGGCCAATATTGACCCGTACACGGTGGCAGAGGCCCTAGTGCGGACTGTGTGCTTGTAATTTTTTGGTTTTAATTAATAAATAAAAAGATAAACACTGCTTTTTGAGCAAACAAAATTGATACAGGTGTTGATGTTTTTAGTTTTTTTCCTCAGTTCATCAGGTATCTTTTTTTGCTGCTGCTGCTGCACTGTAGAGATAGCAAAGAAGTAATAATATTTTTATCTTTTGATTTACTAAACTGCCGACTTTGACTTTGACTCT